ACCTACTCACCCACCCACTCACTCACCCACCCACTCACCCAGCCACTCACCCACCCACTCACTCACCCACCCACCCACCCACTCACTCACCCACCCACCCACTCATCCACCCACCCACTCACTCACCCACCCACTCACCCACCCACTCACTCACCCACTCACCTACCCACCCACTCACCCACCCACTCACCAACCCACTCACTCACTCACCCACTCACTCACTCAATCACCCACCCACTCACTCACCCACTCACTAACTCACCCACCCACTCACTCACCCACTCACCCACTCACTCATCCTCCCACTCACCCACCCACCCACTCACCCACTCACCCACCCACCCACTCACTAACTCACTCATCCTCCCACTCACCCACCCACTCACCCACCCACCCACTCACTGACCCACTCACCCACTCACTCATTCACCCACTCACCCACTCATCCTCCCACTCACCCACCCACTCACCCACTCACCCACCCACTCACTCACTCACCCACCCACTCACCCACCCACCCACTCACTCACTCACCCACTCACCCACCCACCCACCCACTCACCCACCCACTCACCAACCCACTCACTCACTCACTCACCCACTCACTCAATCACCCACCCACTCACTCACCCACTCACTCACTCACCCACTCACTCACCTACCCACTCACTCACCCACTCACCCACTCACCCACCCACCCACTCACTCACCCACTCATCCTCCCACTCACCCACCCACCCACTCACCCACTCACCCACCCACCCACTCATTCACCCACTCATCCTCCCACTCACCCACCCACTCACCCACTCACCCACCCACCCACTCACTGACTGACCCACTCACCCACTCACTCACCCACCCACTCACCCACTCACCCACCCACCCACTCACTGACTGACCCATTCACCCACTCACTCACTCACCCACTCACCCACCCACTCACTCACCCACTCATTCACCCACCCACTCACCCACCCACTCACCCACCCACTCAATCACCCACTCAATCACCCACTCACCCACCCACCAACTCAATCACCCACTCACCCACTAACACCAATTTACGATGTTTCTATCCGCCTCCTTGCCGACGATTTCGTAGCCCTTGAGTCTCCACTCAACGCCCTTTGCCCTGCATCAATAAATGCTGTGCCCAGCAAATGTGTCGTGAACTTCTTTCGTACCGTACGTAGCCAACCGTGGCTACTCGGAGGTGCGGGTAGGGGGGGAAGGATAACAACACCAACAACAACACAAACAACAACAACACAAACAACAACAACACCAACAACAACAACACCAACAACACCAACAACAACAGCACCAACAACAACACAAACAACAACACAAACAACAACAACACCAACACAAACAACACCAACAACACCAACAACAACAACAACACCAACAACACCAACAACAACAACACCAACAACACCAACAACAACACCAACAACACCAACAACAACAACACCAACAACAACAGCACCAACAACAACAACAGCAACACGCAATAACAGCTCTGTGGAAATGAGTTGTCAATTTAATATCGTAGCGTATAGTTAAGTGTAAAGTAGTGTAGTGTGTAGTGTATAGTGTAGTGTATAGTAGTGTATAGTGTAGTGTATAGTAGTGTAGTGTATTGTATAGTGTATTGTATAGTGTATAGTATAGTGTGGTGTATAGTGTAGTGTATAGTGTAGTGCATAGTGTAGTGTATAGTGTAGTGTATAGTGTAGTGTATAGTGTAGTGTATAGTAGTGTAGTGTATAGTGTAGTGTATAGTAAAGTGTAGTGTATAGTGTAGTGTATAGTGTATAATAGTGTAGTGTATAGTGTAGTGTATAGTAGTGTAGTGTATAGTGTAATGTATAGCGTAGTGTATAGTGTAGTCTATAGCGTAGTGTATAGTAGTATAGTGTAGTGTATAGTGTAGTGTATAGTAGTGTATAGTGTAGTGTATAGTAGTGTATAGTGTAGTATATAGTAGTGTATATTGTAGTGTATAGTGTAGTGTATAGTGTAGTGTATAGTGTGTAGTGTATAGTGTAATGTATAGTTTAGTGTGTAGTGTAGTGAATAGTGTATAATAGTGTAGTGTATAGTGTAGTGTATAGAGTATAGTGTAGTGTATAGTAGTGTAGTGTGTAGTGCAGTGTATAGTGTAGTGTATAGTATTGTCGTGTGTAGTGTAATGTATAGTAGTGTATAGTGTAGTGTATAGTGTAGTGTATAGTAGTGTAGTGTGTAGTGTAGTGTATAGTGTAGTGTATAGTGTGTAGTGTAGTGTATAGTGTAGTGTATAGTAGTGTATAGTAGTGTATAGTGTAGTGTATAGTGTAGTGAATAGTGTAGTTTGTAGTGCATAGTGTAGTGTATAGTAGTGTATAGTGTAGTGTATAGTAGTGTATAGTGTAGTGTATAGTATAGTGTAGTGTATAGTGTATAATAGTGTAGTGTATGGTGTAGTGTATAGTGTAGCGTATAGTGTAGTGTATAGTGTATAATAGTGTAGTGTATAGTGTAGTGTTTAGTAGCGTAGTGTGTAGTGTATAGTGTAGTGTATAGTGTAGTGTATGGTGTATAATAGTGTAGTGTATAGTGTAGTGTATAGTGTAGTGTATAGTGTGTAGTGTAGTGTATAGTGTAGTGTCTAGTGTATAATAGTGTAGTGTATAGTGTAGTCTATAGTGTAGTGTATAGTAGTGTACAGTGTAGTGTCTAATGTATAGTAGTGTATAGTGTAGTGTATAGTGTAGTGTATAGTGTTGTGTATAGTGTAGTGTATAGTGTAGTGTATATTGTAGTGTATAGTGTGTAGTGTAGTGTATAATGTAGTGTATAGTTTAGTGTGTTGTGTAATGTATAGTGTAGTGTATAGTGTATAATAGTGTAGTCTATAGTGTAATGTATAGCAGTGTATAGTGTAGTGTATAGTATAGTGCATAGTGTAGTGTATAGTGTAGTGTATAGTAGTGTATAGTGTAGTGTATAGTGTAGTGTATAGTGTGTAGTGTAGTGTATAGTGTAGTGTGTAATGTATAGTAGTGTATAGTGTAGTGTATAGTGTAGTGTATAGTGTAGTGTATAGTGTGTAGTGTAGTGTATAGTGTAGTGTATAGTGTAGTGTATTGTGTAGTGTAGTGTATAGTGTAGTGCATACTGTATAATAGTGTATAGTGTAGTGTGTAGTGTATAGTGTAGTGTATAATAGTGTAGTGTATAGTGTAGTGTATAGTGTAGTGTATAGTGTAGTGTATTGTGTAGTGTATTGTTTAATGTAGTGTATACTGTATAATAGTGTATAGTGTAGTGTGTAGTGTATAGTGTAGTGTATAGTGTAGTGTATAGTGTAGTGTATAGTAGTGTATAGTGTCGTGTATAGTGTGTAGTGTAGTGTATAGTGTAGTGTAATGTATAGTAGTTTATAGTAGTGTATAGTGTAGTGTATAGTGTAGTGTATAGTGTGTAGTGTAGTGTATAGTGTAGTGTAATGTATAGTAGTGTATAGTGTAGTGTGTAGTAGCGTATAGTGTAGTGTATAGTGTAGTGTATAGTGTAGTGTAGTGTGTAGTGTATAGTATAGTGTATAGTGTAGTGTATAGTGTAGTGTGTAGTGTAAGTGTGTAGTGTATAGTGTAGTGTATAGTGTAGCGTATAGTGTAGTGTGGAGTGTATAGTGTGTAGTGTATAGTGTAGTGTATAGTGTAGTGTATAGTGTAGTGTATAATAGTTTAAGTATATTGAACTTATTTCGCATGGCGCGACCCCACTAATCACGACCCCACTAATCACGACCCCACTAATCACGACCCCACTAATCACGCGACCCCACTAATCACGACCCCACCAATCACGACCCCACTAATCACACGACCCCACTAATCACGACCCCACTAATCACGACCCCACTAATCACGTGACCCCACTAATCACACGACCCCACCAATCACGCGACCCCACTAATCACACGACCCCACTAATCACGCGACCCCACTAATCACGCGACCCCACTAATCACGACCCCACTAATTACGACCCCACTAATCACACGACCCCACTAATCACGCGACCCCACTAATCACGTGACCCCACTAATCACACGACCCCACTAATCACGACCCCACTAATCACGACCCCACTAATCACGACCCCACCAATCACGTGACCCCACTAATCACGCGACCCCACTAATCACGTGACCCCACTAATCACACGACCCCACTAATCACGACCCCACTAATCACGCGACCCCACTAATCACGCGACCCCACTAATCACTCGACCCCACTAATCACGCGACCCCACTAATCACGACCCCACTAATCACGACCCCACTAATCACACGACCCCACTAATCACGACCCCACTAATCACGCGACCCCACTAATCACGCGACCCCACTAATCACGCGACCCCACTAATCACGCGACCCCACTAATCACGCGACCCCACTAATCACGTGACCCCCACTAATCACGCGGGCGAGATTTTTTCGTCTGAATTCTCAGAAGCTGTCCGCCTACCCCACGTGGTCCTGTCGACCTTTGATCCACCCCCCCCACCCCCCTCCCTCATTGCGCAACCACGTGACGGTGTTGGTGACGACTGTCGAGACGATCACGTGACGTGACCCCCATTGACCGCCACTCCATTGACCCCCCCTACGTCACGTGATCACGTGATTCTCCCCCACCACCCCTCCCCTGTTCACGTGATGGGGGGGGTGGGCGTGCTGGGTTGACGCGATCACGTGACGTGACCCCCACCCACTATACTCCCCCTAGATCACGTGATCACGTGAGCGGGCGAGAGACAGAGAGAGACAGACAAGAGTGAGAGGCGGAGAGAGACACACACACAGGGAGAGAGACAGGGAGAGACACAGAGAGACACAGGGAGAGACACAGGGAGAGACACACATAGAGACACAGGGAGAGACAGAGTGAGAGACAGAGTGAGAGAGACACAGAGTGAGACAGAGTGAGAGAGTGAGACACAGACAGAGACACACGGACACAGACAGAGAGAGACACAGACAGAGAGAGACACAGAGAGACACAGACGGAGAGAGACACACGGACAGAGAGAGAGACAGAGTGAGAGACAGCGGTGGTGGTTTGCTGAGTTGCTGTTCCGAGTACTCTACTCTCTACCAGGTACTCTCTACCAGGTACTCTCTACTCTCTACCAGGTACTCTCTACCAGGTACTCTCTACCTGGGACTCTCTACCAGGTACTCTCTACCAGGTACTCTCTACTCTCTCCCAGGTACTCTCTACCAGGTACTCTCTACTCTCTACCAGGTACTCTCTACCAGGTACTCTCTACCAGGTACTCTCTACTCTCTACCAGGTACTCTCTACCAGGTACTCTCTACTCTCTACCAGGTACTCTCTACCAGGTACTCTCTACCAGGTACTCTCTACTCTCTACCAGGTACTCTCTACCAGGTCCTGTCTACTCTCTACCAGGTACTCTCTACCAGGTACTCTCTACTCTCTACCAGGTACTCTCTACCAGGTACTCTCTACCAGGTACTCTCTACTCTCTACCAGGTACTCTCTACCAGGTACTCTCTACTCTCTACCAGGTACTCTCTACCAGGTACTCTCTACTCTCTACCAGGTACTCTCTACCAGGTACTGTCTACTCTCTACCAGGTACTCTCTACCAGGTACTCTCTACTCTCTACCAGGTACTCTCTACCAGGTACTCTCTACCAGGTACTCTCTACTCTCTACCAGGTACTCTCTACCAGGTACTCTCTACTCTCTACCAGGTACTCGCTACCAGGTACTCTCTACCAGGTACTCTCTACCAGGTACTCTCTACTCTCTACCAGGTACTCTCTACCAGGTATTCTCTACTCTCTACCAGAGACTCTACTCGCTACCAGGTACTCTCTACCAGGTACTCTCTACTCTCTACCAGGTACTCTCTACCCGGGACTCTCTACCAGGTACTCTCTACTCTCTACCAGGTACTCTCTACCAGGTACTCTCTACCAGGTACTCTCTACTCTCTACCAGGTACTCTCTACTCTCTACCAGGTACTCTCTACTCTCTACCAGGTACTCTACCAGGTACTCTCTACCAGGTACTATCTACTCTCTACCAGGTACTCTCTACTCTCTACCAGGTACTCTCTACCAGGTACTCTCTACCAGGTACTCTGTACTCTCTACTCTCTACCAGGTACTCTCTACTCTCTACCAGGTACTCTCTACCAGGTACTCTCTGCTCTCTACCAGCAACTCTCTACTCTCTACCAGGTACTCTCTACCAGGTACTCTCTACTCTCTACCAGGTACTCTCTACCAGGTACTCTCTACCAGGTACTCTCTACCAGGTACTCTCTACCAGGTATTCTCTACTCTCTAGCAGAGACTCTTTACTCTCTACCAGGTACTCTCTACCAGGTACTCTCTACTCTCTGCCATGGACTCTCTACTCTCTACCAGGTACTCTCTACCAGGTACTCTCTACTCTCTACCAGGTACTCTCTACCAGGTACTCTCTACCAGGTACTCTCTACCAGCAACTCTCTACTCTCTAGCAGACTCTCTACTCTCTACAAGGTACTCTCTACCAGGTCTATCTACCAGGTACTCTCTACTCTCTACCAGGTACTCTCTACCAGGTACTCTCTACTCTCTACCAGGTACTCTCTACCAGGTACTCTCTACTCTCTACCAGGTACTCTCTACCAGGTACTCTCTACTAGGTACTCTCTACCAGGTACTCTCTACCAGGTACTCTCTACTCTCTACCAGGTAATCTCTACCAGGTACTATCTACCAGGTACTCTCTACTCTCTACCAGGTACTCTCTACCAGGTACTCTCTACTCTCTACCAGGTACTCTCTACCAGGTACTCTCTACTCTCTACCAGGTACTCTCTACCAGGTACTCTCTACTCTCTACCAGGTACTCTCTACCAGGTACTCTCTACCAGGTACTCTCTACTCTCTACCAGGTACTCTCTACTCTCTACCAGGTACTCTCTACCAGGTACTCTCTACCAGGTACTCTTTACCAGGGACTCTCTAATCTCTACCAGGTACTCTCTACCAGGTACTATCTACCAGGTACTCTCTACTCTCTACCAGGTACTCTCTACCATATACTCTGTACTCTCTACCAGGTACGCTCTACCAGGTACTCTCTACCAGGTACTCTCTACCAAGTACTCTCTACCAGGTACTCTCTACTCTCTACCAGGTACTGTCTACTCTCTACCAGGGACTCACTCACAAACTCACTCAGACTCACTCACAAACTCACACGCAGAATCACACACACAGATTCACTCAGACTCACACTCACTCAGACTCACACTCACTCAGACTCACACACACTCACAGACTCTCAGACTCACTCAGACTCACTCGCAGGCTCACTCAGACTCACTCACAGACTCTCAGACTCACCTAGACTCACTCACAGACTCTCAGACTCACTCAGACTCACTCACAGACTCACTCAGACTCACTCACAGACTCACTCAGACTCACTCACAGACTCACAGACTCACTCACAGACTCACTCAGACTCACTCACAGACTCACTCACAGACTCACACACACTCACAGATTCACTCAGACTCACTCACAGACTCACACACTCACAGACTCACTCAGACACACTCATAGAATCACTCAGACTCACTCACATACTCACACACAGAATCACAGACTCACACACTCACAGACTCACTCAGACACACTCACAGATTCACTCAGACTCACAGACTCACTCAGACTCACACACACTCAAAGACTCACTCAGACTCAAAGACACTCGCAGACTCTCACACACTCACAAACTCACACACACTCACAGATTCACTCAGACTCACTCAGACTCACACTCACAAACTCACTCAGACTCACTCACAGACTCACTCAGACTCACTCACAGACTCACAGACTCACTCACACACTCAGTCACAGAATCACTCAGACTCACTCAGACTCACTCACATACTCACACACAGAATCACACACACTCACAGATTCACTCAGACTCACAGACTCACTCAGATTCACACACACTCAAAGACTCACTCAGACTCAAAGACACTCACAGACTCACACTCACAAACTCACACTCACAGACTCACTCAGACTCACACTCACAGACTCACTCAGACTCACTCACAGAATCACAGACTAACTCACACAATCACTCACTCACTCAGGCTCACTCAGACTCACAGACTTAATCAGACTCACTCAGACTCACAGACTCACACACACTCACAGACTCACACACACTCACAAACTCACACACACTCACAGACCCACAGACTCACTCAGACTCACTCAGACTTACTCACAGACTCACTCAGACTCACTGACAGACTCACTAACAGACTCACACACACTCACAGACTCACACAAACTCACACACACTCACAGACTCACTCAGACTCACTCAGACTTACTCACAGACTCACTCAGACTCACTCACAGACTCACACTCACAGACTCACACACACTCACAGACTCACACACACTCACAAACTCACACACACTCACAGACTCACAGACTCACTCAGACTCACGCACACACTCACAGACTCACTCAGACTCACTCACTTACTCACACTCACAGACTCACAGACTCACACACACGCACAGACTCACACACACTCATAAACTCACACACACTCACAAACTCACAGACTCACTCAGACTTACTCACAGACTCACTCAGACTTACTCACAGACTCACTCACAGACTCACACACAGACTCACTCACAGACTCACAGACTCACTCAGACTCACTCAGAAACTCACACACACTCACAAACTCACACACACTCACAGACTCACTCAGACTAACTCACAGACTCACTCAGACTCACTCACAGATTCACAGACTCACTCACAGACTCACTCACTCACGGACTCACTCAGACTCACTCACAGACTCACAGACTCACTCACAGACTCACACACACTCACAGACTCACTCAGACTCACTCAGACTCACTCACAGACTCACTCAGACTCACTCAGACTTACTCACAGACTCACAGACTCACTCACAGACTCACAGACTCACTCACAGACTCACTCAGACTCATTCACAGACTCACTCACTCACAGACTCACACAGACTCACTCACAGACTCACACAGACTCATTCACAGACTCATTCACACACTCACTCAGACTCACAGACTCACTCACAGACTCATAGACTCACTCACAGACTCACATACTCACTCAGACTCACTCACAGACTCACTCAGACTCACTCACAGACTCACTCACAGACTCACTCATACACTCACTCAGACTCACAGACTCACTCACAGACTCACTCAGACTCACACAGACTCACTCAGACTCACTCACAGACTCACACAGACTCACTCACAGACTCACAGACTCACTCACAGACTCACTCACAGACTCACACAGACTCACTCACAGACTCACTCACTCACTCACAGACTCACAGACTCACTCACAGACTCACTCAGACTCACAGAGACTCCCTCAGACTCACTCACTCACAGACTCCCTCAGACTTACTCACAGACTCACCCAGACTCACACACAGACTCATAGACTCACTCAGACTCACTCACAGACTCACTCAGACTCACTCACAGACTCACTCACAGACTCATTCACAGACTCACAGACTCACTCACAGACTCACTCACTCACAGACTCACTCACAGACTCACAGACTCACTCACAGACTCACAGACTCACTCACAGCCTCACTCACAGACTCACTCAGACTCACTCACACACTCACACACACTCAGACTCAAAGACTCACAGACTCCCTCACAGACTCACTCACAGACTCACTCACAGACTCACAGACTCACTCAGACTCACTCACAGACTCACACACACTCAGACTCAAAGACTCACAGACTCCCTCACAGACTCACTCACAGACTCACTCACAGACTCACAGACTCACTCAGACTCACTCACAGACTCACACACTCACTCAGACTCAAGACTCACTCACAGACTCACTCAGACTCACTCACAGACTCACTCACAGACTCATTCACAGACTCACATACTCACTCACAGACTCACTCACTCACTCACAGACTCACTCAGACTCACTCACAGACTCACAGACTCACTCACAAACTCACAGAATCACAGACTCACTCACAGACTCACTCA